AGACAGACAGACAGGAGAGAGAGAGACAGGCAGACAGGCAGACAGGCAGACAGGACAGGGCCTGCTGCTGCTGCTGCTGCGGGGTTTTTTTTTGTTTTTTGTGCAGAGCAGAAACAGCGCCCCGGACAGGCCGCACTGCGATGTGACTCTAAACGTGGTTTCACATGGAGCCGGTTTTAGTCAGAGCAGGTTCCGGACTTTCCACCATCAGTTGCGATCTGACACAGATCCAGAGCTGCTGAATGAGTGTGAGCACCGGAAACAGACACATGTAATCTGATTACACTGTAAACCAGGAGAGGATCCAAATAAACAGTTTGAACTGAACTCATCAAACATTTGAACTAAAATAAACTTAATTAATGTAAATTATAAAAACAAAATCTGACCTCAACATCATCAGAATGTATTATTATTATTTATTAATTACATATACTGTAGAATACTTATATTGTCATATATTGTATTATAAAGTACATAGTTTATATGTTTCTATTCTTATATATATACATTATGTTAGATATTATAGTTTTATTATTATTATTATTTATATTTTTTAATGTCTTGTGAGCACTTTGAGTCATTTTTAGTGACTTAATTTTGTCATTTTTATTTGTGCTGTGAAACAAAATATAAAGTAAAAAGAATTTAATCAAGTTATTGTTAAAATTACTCATGTAAAATTAAGTTTGTTTGATTTTAAATGTTTTTAATAATAATTTATCACATTACAGTTTAATTATAACGTAACATCACAAAAGTAATGGACCCCAACTAGGGGTCACCAAAGTGGGGTCAGGACCCTCAGGTTGGGAACCACTGATTTATATCACTGTTTGGTTATTTACTTATTTAATTATGTTTTTTTGACCAATTTTTATTCACTATAACTCAACGTTTACCTTCAAACTGCCACAACTTTAATGTTGGTTACAAACTTAACATGGATTTACAATCAGTAATTAACTTTATTACATTTTACAGCCGTAGGTTACCTGAGTAATAAAAAATAACTTTAACTAATATTAACACTAATAGATGCTGAGTAAAGTTACAGTTAATAAGTTAACACATTGTTATTACGTTGGTTAATTTAGACTCACTGATTTTATTAATGTAGGAAATAAACATTCAAATGTTCTTTTATATTTGAATAAAACTCAAACTGTATTTAAAATAAAAGACTTAAAATGTGAAGTTAAGGTTGTGTTTTAGGTTATACCGACTAGAAGTTGAAATGCACTTTTAATGAGTCAACAGAGAAAATTTGTTATAAAAAAGCCATATTTTAAAGACGTAATCAAAAAATAACTTAAATAGTTTCCATTTTAAATATGTTTTTTATTTTATTTTATTAATTAATATATTTAATTTTACTGCATTTCACACAATTAAAATAATAAAGAAAAGTCAGTGGTGGAAGTATTCAGATTCTTTATTTAAGTAAAAGTAGAAGTTTTAAAAATTAAAAGTTCTGATGACACAAAAAATGACACAAACAGACTCAACTGACACTGACTCAAGTGACATCACTTAAAGGGACAGGCTCCTATTAATAATCTCTGAACTAAAGATGCTGTTATATTTATATTAGACCGTCTCGAATAAAGTTAATTTACTGTAATTTGTCTGATAAATTCTCTTTTAGAGTCAGAACAAACACATTTCAACTCCCGATGAGCTGATTCTGATTAAAATTGAGGTTATTTATACATTTCATATTATGTCTGAACATTTGCACCAATGATATTAAGCTTTATTGATAATAAAATGCAGCTCCAATATATTAAACATATCAATAACTTAAAAATGAACCAAGAAATGAATCAAAATCAGCCCATTTTTTATTTGAAAAAATGTCATAAAAGGATTCAGGATCCTCAATAACCCCCAAAACCAACTCTTATATTGTCCAAATGAGCCAATTAGACATTGTCTGTAAAGGTTGTTCTGTTTATTAATGCTAATGAATGCTTATTGTGCTAATTCCCCAACTCATGCAAGTTAGCGTGAGTACATTTCAGTAGTGAAACCCACATGACACGACTACAGGAAGTCTCCTCTAAATGAAACTCACACATAGTTCCAGCAGTCGAGCACTACCTACACACTGAATCAGAATTTCCGATCCGATGACGTAATAAATAATAATAAATCAGTCACTGCGAGAGCTTTTATTTTAAATAAAGTTCCACTGTTGAGGCGGGAAAGTCCCTCTTCTGCTTCTTACTATCAGTCTGTTCAATGTGCTGAACATGCACTCTAAAAATAAACATATTGGCTCAACAAAAACAGCCGTTTGCTTCCATCTTTTTGAGTTTTAAGAACTTTTAATGAATAATAATAATTATTATGTTCAATAAATCTGCTGCAGAGAATCAGCTTCTACAGTCAAATATATGTTTAATTATTCGATAATTGTGAGCATAAAGACAAGTTTTTAAGTTGATTATTCATGAAAATGAAGTAGTGTAATACTTTTTTTTACAGTGTGCATTATAATCTGTTTGATGAGTGAAGTTAAAGTTGCATTATTGGTCGTCCTCCGCTGTGATATGACTCAGCTGATAGCAGCGGTGGTTTCTGTTCTGGTAAAAAACGTCAGAGACAAAAAAAGTTTTCATCAGATTTTAATCAGTTTTTATTAAAACTGTAGAAATGTAAATATATCCGACTATTATACGACTTCAGGACGATTCTGGATTCCTGAAACACTGCTGTAACTAATAGATAATGTAACTAATAGATAAAAGATAATGTAACTAATAGATAATG